TATTCACTGGATCGTAAAGCCAAAACCATGGGAATCATAAAAGTGTCTGAATTACCACATCTCGTAATGCCACTCACCTCTCAATGACTTCACATGAAGCCGAAAATTTCTCGCAGCTATTGAGTTCTAAGCAAAATGAAAATTTTTCCATTCCTTATCGGTTCTTTTTACAAACTCTGACTGTTTAAACTAACATAACGTAAAAACCGCTGAAAATAAAAGAAAACACAAGCATCCGACATGTTATTATAACTCTGGATAAACCGAGCACTCTTTTCCTAAATGACGCACAGCGTCTCATCTTTCGAGTAAAAATGGACATAAGCACCCATCTTTCCAGCAATTGATTAATGTTATTATTTAATGGAATTCTAGATACACGTAGAATCGATCCCCGTGCCCATGGTCCACCAAGCATTTCATCCCCCCGGGGTCGGTAAATTGGTATCAGACTTGCCTGGGAGGATAGCGGCACTGGCTCGGTACATCAGTAGGCCACCGCGAGTCATTTTGAAGGTCAGATATACATTCATTCAGCTCCAAACGATGCTTGATGAAATCGAATGCATGGCGCACCACTCAGGGATTGATCAGCGCCGAGAGCTTTTGGCTTTTATCCTTTAATGGAATTATCTACTGCACCGAAGCCTCATGTACCGCCAAAGCTGTTTGCTGCTAGTTACAATTACACTGCATTGTTCAACATACTTGACTTCGATGCAAGTGTTGTCAACCTAACCAGTTTAACTGCGGAAGATGAACAGAATATGATCGATGAGAATCCTGAGATAGACCCAGAGCATAGAATAGTAAAAGGGACTTGAATGTGATGCGTTGGATATTCTGCAGGAGTGAAAGTAGTAGCACTTCCGTATAAAGCGGAAGTGTCGCTGCGAATCATTCGAGACGTCCAGATCGCCTTTAAAGTAGAGTCATAGATTTTTTGAAGGGCATTTTACACTTACAAACAAAGTAATGGTGGATTCACTATTGGTAGAGTAGGTTTCTTTGGGATTTGTTTAATCACTTAAAGTTTGGTGTAGCCTGAACTATCTTCTCTTATATTGTTGTAAATAGGCTTGTTTTTGTAGCATAAGTGGCACAGTTAGGGTAAAAAGCCTGACTGAGAGAAAGGCAGAACGAGGACCTCAGTGCAGCCGCGCGTGAGTAGCACCTGAGCCCCTGGAAAAGGTAATCGCAGTTCGTTTTGACCTTCGGTCCAAGTTTTGCAAATATCTCAGCATAATTGTAACTATTTAACGATTTCATTTCGTTAGGTATATGCAGTGCAGTGGTTAAAGTTACCGTGCAGTACATATAACACCGCAGCTTTCATTCCCCCTTCCTGGAAAGTCAAACTATCTTTCAGTTGTCAGCAAATTTGTCGTTGTCACGAATGGAGTTGGAAACATGGAGCATTTCTAGACTATCATCAACGCCTAACGCTTGCTAGCTTTTAATTGTTTATGCTCATTGATAGTACAAGCTTCTGCAGTTCATATCAATCGCATAAATCAACAAGTATTGTTCTACTAGCGTTGTTGCAATACCAACTTGAATTCCTTCCTTCTTAAGCGTTTTTCTCGTCATTTCCTCAACGTTCTTTTTTTCAATAAATCTTTAACCTAATGTTATTCACTTATCCTAAAGCCGCCAATGACATATTCCTTTTCTTCACTAATGGTTTTTCACGCGTTCCTGGAAGAATTCGTCCACTTTCCTTCGGGTATCTTTCTATTGCTGTTAAACACTAAGTCATTATAGTCGCTGATACCAGTTATCAATGTTTCACATAGAAATGTTCGGATGAGCTGCTATGAAGAGCGAACTGCGGAACGGAACCTCACCTTGGCTACCCAACAAGAGGTAAGGGTACATCATCAAGCACAACATTCAATGCTAACAGTCCGTAAAATTTCGCGATATCGCGGTGGTGGCCTTAAGATCCGGTAGTAGCCCTTGGAACATGTCGTAATAATAAATGATAACTATTATATTCCTAATAAGTGTATTAAGAGTACCATGCCATTCATCGGTTATTTCACGCGCCTTTGCTTGTAGAGGTAAGAGAACAGTGAATTGGTATAGCACTGTGAACAATGCTATGTGCACTTTTTCGATAAGAATCGCCATAGATAACTTTATCCATTTTGTTTTCGGTGAGTTGGAAGATATCTGGCAGCGACAACGTTAATAGAATGAGACTTGACACTTCTGTTCCGTATAGATTGAGTTCCAGTTACGTCATTCTTCTACAGCACCCTCAAAAACTCGTTTGCCCCAATCCGTATTTCGAACAGTGCTAAATTACTGAGTATTCTCTATACTGTGTGCAGCACTAGAAATACAGAGCTTTCCACTAGTTTACTGCTTGCCAACATCCCGTGGTGTTCATCTCCAACAACAACGATCAGTCACAGAATCGCTTTGACATCACTTACCGTCTCAGTATAGATTAATACTTGATACTTGATACTTGAATGGCCCGTCCTCACTGGTTGTGAGGGCTCCAGCTCAGTCTCCATTTTTCGGAGATTTGTTGGTTAAGCCATTGTAGTTCCCTGGAGTCCCGTGATCAGCCTGGCCGAAGTCTGCCTCAGGTCTTCACCACGACAGGCAGTCGCATTCTTTGTGGATCAGAGGAAGATTCGCCACCAAGCGATTTTGATACCAAGACGGTGGTGGATCCTGGTATTGGTTTATTCTTAGCTAAGCTTCCTGATGGGAACGCCTGGCCTCCTTTTCAGCTTGAGAGACCCTGCTACGGGATGAATCCCCCGCTGTACATCGCAGTCCGACACTCAGGAGCACCTCCCAACCACAATGAGACGGTAAACTGTTGGGAGGGTGTAGATTAATGGTCATAGTCATAATCTAATCGTTTACTTATAAGAGAGAATTCTAAATTTTCGGCTAAAGAATAAAACTCTGTGATGATTGCACTTAGTGAGTATTCTTATGGTAGTAAAAACTGAAGACATGGACCTATATTGGAATAATGAAATACAATTCAGATAATTTACCAAATTTTATTGAGGGACAAAACCCTTGTAATCCACTGCGTCATAGAGAGATCATGAGAATTAAAAAACGCTTATAAACTGAAAAATACAAAGCAAGGTAGAGTTTTAGATTTCAATTAGTTCTGACAAACTGACGTAGTAACCATGTAGATTTAAAAGTTGAAGAAAATTCTTTTTTTCTTTCCCTTCTTTCCTTTTTTCTTTCCGTTCTTTCCTTTTTTCTTTTCCTTCTTTCCTTTTTTCCCTCCTTTCCTTCCTTCTTTCCTTCTTTCCTTCTTTCTTTACGTCATGTTTTGATCCATTTCGCATGGAAGGAAATATCTTTAAATAGGTAAAGAATAAAACAATCATAGTCTGGAATCATAGAGTGCTTTCGAACAGTACAGTGTCGGTGTGATGGACTTTTCCTAGTAGACGACATTGTTATAAAAAGTCAAAAAACTATTAGTTAATATGTTAAGGTGTTTTTTTTCTTCCGTTTAATTTTCTCTGAAACATAAGGGAGACTTCACAACTAGTAGAACTATCTAAAAGATAGGGTAAAAGTAGTTACTATTTTGGTGAGAATTCAGTGAGCTTAACTCTCACACCTGCAGAGAGCTTCAAATGCCGTATTCATTTCAGATCGTGTCTCGGTCGTTTGTCAGCTCTGGAGGTGTTCCTCTTCTTACTGGTTTTATTGTTATTAGTTATTCTTGGAGCAGTTTTATTTTGTTGGTTAATTTTACTAGAAGGATACCGAACATTTGAGGGAGGTTTGTTATTGCTTAAGTTCAAAGATTAATCATAGATTTCTCTCTATTACAAGAAGTAATTGTGATATTGGTTCTATTACATTCGTGATCACTTGCAATGATTGCATTAAGTACCTGCCTTATAACAATCATTTTTAAACAGAAATGACAGTAACGCTAATCTTGACACGTTCTCGGTCGTATGTAGTGGTATCAATGCACATTTGACCAAAAATACTTTCGTTGGTAAATTTTCAATAAGCAAACTACAGATTGTAGCAAGCAGACTTTAATCATTGAAATAGAAGTCAGTGGAATCCACAGGCTTTTACGATGAAGTGGAACTTTTTTCTCTTTCTATTACTGAGATGCATTCCTGACTTGCCGCAGCCTCTAAAATGTATTTTATGTTTCTCATCCCTTTTTCATCACCCCTTTCATTCTTTCTCAACCAACTAATCACTTGGTAGAAAACTCTTTACATCCACCACTTTTTCATTGTTCTTTCAGAGTTTAATTCCGGACCAAATTCAAAATTTAAATAGCATTTATTAAACATTATTTCTACTTCTGTAGTGATGGAACCATTTTTTTTCCTGAAAACTCCGTCAAATACTCCACTCCTCAAGTGACTTCTTATCGAGAAATTTTGCTCAAGTTGTAGAAAAGCCAGGACAGTCAAACAAACACCAGCACAATGTAATATAGAAAAAGGGGTAAAAACTCTATGGAATAAGTTTTCCGTGTTCGGCTTTAACAAGTAGTTTTTTCATGTTACCTCTCTTTCACAATATGTTTAGATTCTCAAGGCCACCTATACAGACGTCATGTAGACCACTAATCCTTCAGAGAATACCTTTCGGACAGAACACTCATTGATCCTCTTAAAATATACCAGAAATCTTGGTGATTCTGGCTATTGCTAATCGATAAATAATGGTAAATCCAGGCCACATAATCATGGACGATTCCGTAAATTTGGTTGGCGACTGTTAACAGGAAAGGAAAATTGTAGTATTGGTTACCACTGTGCCATTTTTCCAGAACTTTCTGGTCTCATAAGAACATTAAGGAGAAGTCTTGCTGATTATCTTGGTGTACCTATGTTTACAGGAAGAATATTAAGCATGTATGACCTTATTAAGGTCGAAACGTTCAAACTTTAATATGGAACTGGCGGAGACGAACCTTTTTTACAGTATAGTTACGTAGCTCCAATAGTGTTATAGTTATAATTGCAGGTTTACCGATCTATGCATTACCATTCGAAAATTCTTCAATAGGAGTTGACCGAACGGCAAAAAATCATAATGGTATTGTGTGTACTTCGAGGGAATGTGTTACGATTGCGGGTTTCCTGGCTGGAAATCTCAACGACAAGGTTCATTGAGATCTCAGTATTTCTCAACTACTTTGCTATTTCATATTAGTCGTACATGACACGGTAAGACCACGAAACACGGCGATGGTCCACTTGATGTGTATTAACCTGAAAGGACGTAATTTTGCAAAGTGGAGCAATTTAGATTCTTAGAGAAGCTAAAGTCGGCTCCTCAAAGCCCAGATATTGGGCGCAGAAAACGCAGTGGTTAGAGGTCCCGTGGAATACAAGTGAGGTGAATGGTACAACTGTGCCGTGGCTCAAGCAGGCTTCCCATCCACCCGGTGTTTGCAAATTGGTACCATATCCGAGAAAGGCTCCTTCCCATTTCCAAAGTAAGATGAGATGTGGACGTTTGAAATCTCTAGCAGAGCTAGCCGAGGATTTCAGGAAGAATCAATCCGACCAGCATTCAGTGACGTTAATGAAGAAATCAGAATTCTCAAACAGTTGTCGAGCGATAGCTCATAAGCAAATTCGAAGACTTTCATGGATCTGAGAACTGCGCAATATGTGAAGATTGGTTATGGCAATAACGGTAATAAATAAAGTATGAGGAACTTTCAAAGAAATCAGGAATTTTTAAAATATTCATAAAGCCAGCCCGATGTAGAATTAGAGTGTCAGAGGATGACATAAAATATCTTAGTAATGACCGGCTTTTAGTTCTGGATTCTGGCTTTAACTTTTCGTTACTTTCTAAAACACCATCATTTCGGAAAAGTGCGAGAAAGTGCGACACTGAATGGCGTCCTCTGCCTTTCAACGATATGCACTGAAAACAGAAGACACCGTTGAAGAAATGAAGAACAAAAACTGTATTGGTTTTATTTATTTATGTGATCTTATAAACTGATCTTCTTAAGCTGACGTGGGGTTGCTACAGATCTTCGTTGACGTTGTTTTTGACGTTATTGATCGATGGGTGAGGTTTCGGCGACTTCGCCTTCCCTAGAGCCGTGATGTTACGTGCGGGGCTGGCCCACGCGTATTGGTTTTGTTCTTGTTTTTGTATGACTCACGTCTACTTTGTGGATCCTAGCACTTCTCACATTCGTTTCGTTTCCTCGCATCCATTGTCCACGAAGATCTTCCAACTTTTACGTGTGGCTTCGGACGCTGCTTGACGATTTTAATTCCATCGTGGATGTCGTAGAATGCTGGTCGAGCATCTCTTCCTGGAGTCCTGGGATGGCCTGGCTGGTGCGATTCCCATTGGATTGCAGACAGAGACTTTTCCCAGACAAGTTCGGTGCCGATTTCCCAACCCTAGGGGCTCGGTTGGCTTGAGGCGGAATCGAGCTGGCACTATGCTCGTGGTGACGGACATCACTACCACTGTGCTATCTGCACTAGATTGGTTCGGAGTACGTAAATGTGGTAGCCATGATGGTTTTGGGTATTACCGTGATATTTTGGTATTTTGTGAGAGTTACCTTTTTCTGAACTTGAAAACAAAATCATGGATTGGCACAGCTTACCGTTCTCAAATATTTCCTCAATGTTACAATGGAATTTCAGTCATAAATTCCAGTCATATAAGCAATTTTTCACAGCATCCATCTTGTGATGCTTGTAACAAGCTGGTTAGAAATGCATTACAATACATTAGTCGCTAGTTCGATCTCGCACACTCGCTTCACCACCATTCCATCCCATGTGCATCAGCAAATTGGTACCAGACTTGTTTGTGAGGATTAAAGTACTTAATGCACCTGTCGGTACCAGCAAGTATTTGTACAAGTCGAATGTGTATTCACTCGCTACAACGATGCTAGGCATTGAGCCGAATGCATCATTCTGGTTAGAACTTCATCCTCTATCGTTTTTGTTCATTGATATCTGTTTACTCTTTCTGTGTTGACAAAATAGCAAGTTTAGGTGGATCCGTGTGATGACTTTTATGAGTTTGCATGTGGTAACTACGGATTAAATCGTAATCTGCCGGCCAGCAAGCCTCTTCAGCATACAATCAGCGATGTACAAAGCAGACTTAATAAGCAAGTAAAAAGTATACTTCAGGTAGGACCACAGTTGAACTTCAGTACTATTGTCACAAATAATTCCTAGGGCTTTCTTATTGCTTAAATTTATAATAATGCAACATGTTGGTTTTTTCTTTGGTTCTTTCTCTTAAATCTTTTTCGTTGACAAAATCCACGTTGGCTAGCTCAGTGCGCTCACTGTATGAGTGGTTAGAAACGCTGCACCGTTTCTCACTCAAGATTTTCAAAGCAGAAAAGCTTCTTGTTTCGATTTTATATTCATACCGATATCTCTGTAAGGAATCCTAATTCATACGCTACCAAAAAGATCACAATTTTAATGGTACCGTGATGAATGTGTACTCTATTGATGATACAACACGAGGTTCATCAAACCACTTCATTCCTCCAGTCAGAAGAAGTGTTCTTATGAACATCGTGTTAGCTTACCAATGAAAGAATACAAATCGATTGGTCATCTTGAGGTTAAAGGAAAGTCGATTTTCCAAATACACTATGATCAATCAATATTTCAAAAACCATCTTTCCTTTAACGGCAAATTGACTAATCAGTACAAATCCTTTCGTTCATAGGCTAATAGGAGGTTGATAAAAATGTTTATTCGGCTAAACTTTCGACGTTTTCGTCTTCCTCAGAGCTGATGTTCCGAGTCGATAATCCACAGTCGTTCGTACTCTCGATTCTTCATCGACGAAGCACCGCTCGAACGAAGCAACATCACTCAGCGATGCTTCTTTAGCCGTTAGCCGAATAAACGTTTTTTCCAAGCTTGTGTTAGCTTATCTGCAAAAAATGCACTACTATGATGAAATTCTTCGTCATAATATAACCACTCTTTAGCCACTACCTTTTCTTTCTTCATGGCAGGGTATTATGTGAAATACAACTACAATGGTGCTGAGATTTTTGCAAAACTCGGGACTGCAGGTGTCTGCTGCGTTACCTTTTTCCGGGAGTGCACGCAACGGAGGACAAGCATAGTGTGATGGTGAGCACGTCAGCCCCAGGAACGGGTATTAGCGTGTTCAGTCCACACCGCATACACCTGCGGTCCGGACTTTTGCAAAGATCTCAGTATCACAATGTTATACCTTTTTTATTTTCTGCCTACTATAATTTCGCGACAGGGTACTAAGCGAAATACAACCACAACGTTGCTGACATATTTACAAAACTCTGGACCACAGGTGTCTATGTTGGGGAACGAACGCGCTATTGTCCTTTCCGGGGAGTAACGCGTTCACCACCATACCATGCGGGTCCT